CCAAAACACACGTCGTTGTCGCCACGTTTAACAGACAAACAGACGAGTTGGGAGCTTACCAAAAGAAGATCTTTGAAATTGACAACCACATAGGCGTTGCTGTTTCTGGTTTTTGTGCGGACGCTCGTGTCCTTACCAGCCAAATGCGCAACAAGTGTATCGACTATACCTACCTCTACGGCACCCCACACCCCGTTGAAAAGTTGGTCAAACAAATATCCGATAGCGCACAAACAAACACACAGAAATATGGCCTGAGACCATACGGTGTCGGTCTTCTTGTCGTTGGGTATGACACCAAGGCAAGACTCTTCGAGACGTCGCCAAGTGGGTTGTACTACGGCTACAAAGCACAAGCAATCGGTGCACGTAGTCAAAGTTGCCGAACCTACCTCGAGAAGCATTTTGAGACCTTTAAAACACTTGACAAGAATCAGTTGGTCAAGCAAGCGCTATTGGCGCTGAGGGAGTCCCTCACAACAACCAACGATAAGTTGAGTGTCACCAACTGCACTGTTGGGGTTGTCGGGAAGGACGAACCTTTCAAAATTTTGTCGCAAGAAGAGATGAAAGACCAAATTGAAGGGCTTGACAGAGTCGACATGGAGATGGCACAGCCAGCTGCAGACTAAATTCCAAGCTTTTAAATTGTTATGTTCCACAATTACAATCTCAAAATGAGAAATTATAAAAATATAGTTTAATGTAATTATTCAAGTAGTTTCTCTATTTCTAAAAACTTGAAAAATAATCACAGTGATGAACAACCAGAACGACGAGACATTTCAACCGAAAAAAAATGAAGAAGGCCAAGAGCAAAAGGCGAAAGAACAAACAAGTCCGGCCACAATACAGGATTTGTGCAAAACGCTATTAACACCAGAAATGGTGTCAAGAACACAAGAATGGAAAAATGAAAGGGAAATACTCAAGGGAATACTTGAAGAGACAATTAAAGAAGAAATGAAAGAAGCAATGGTGTGGTGGACGTCTCACTCCATAGAGGAGAAACAAACCATTTTGGTAATGGCGATGGACGCCGTCGCGGAAGACGAAAATGTTATTACCCTTATCAATAACATATTTACTGAGATCAACACACTCCTCGATAACACAGAAGATGTAATGGGTTTTATTGGAAAGGTCAGTAAAGACTCACTTTACTGTTACAAAAACGTGTTTGACTCAAGCCAAATACAAGACGAGATTGGAAAAAATTTAAGTGAAATGGAAACGTTGGAGTGCCTTGACGCGATGCTCTCCGCAAGGTCGTGCATTGCGCTCAAACTGAGCATCAACGTTCTGATGATAACAAACCAAATTGATAATTAGTATTGGTGGAGAACAAATGTAGAAACTATTAAATTAACTATAAAATAATTCAGTACTTCAAAACGCTTTATTAGAAAGTTCAATCAACTAGAAAGTCAGAAAATGAACCAAATGCTCTTGATGTGTTTTGCTACATACGTTTCGGCGTATTTCTGTTTGAAGTCTGCGAGCGGTGAGAAAAGGGGAATTGTGTCCTACGAGTTGTATCATGTCAACAACATCACCACTTTCCTCACAACAAACCTCTGTGGAACGCTTCCAAATCATCCAACAGCTTCTGTCATGTTGGTTAACACAAAAGAGGTGGAGTTAAACAACATTACTACAGAGGTTATTACAACCACGAACACTCAGTCGAACAACGAAGTGATTCTTCACTACACTTTGAGCAAATCCATTCCTGATTGCCCTGTTTACTCTCTTTCTATTATTTACAAATGCAACCAAACCGCATTAGAGCCTCAAATTGTAAATGTGGACTATGAGACCACCGATCCATTTTTCTGCTCAAACATTGTGTTTGTTTTCCATGTTGTTATATTTTAAATTTATTTTGATTGGTATTGAGAAGAACAAAAACAACATTTTAACAACAAGAACGGTCACAACACCCGACATTTGTTCTCAAAATCTGAGTGTTTTTCTTCAAAAAAATTAATTTATTTTGACTTTCTTATCTCTGGTGACGGAAGGCTAACAAAATTAAAAAAAGTCAAACTCAAATAATCTCCCCACATTAAGAACACAACTTTCAAATTTTGGAATTCAAGAAGTCTCGATAGTTCATAGGTCTTCTTTCTTCGTCTCTTCTTCTGTCCCGATCATCCCTTCTTGAATCATCGAACTGTCTGTCATCATATCGTCTTCGGTCATCATACCTATCTCTGTCGTCTCTACGGTCGTCTCTTCTTAATGGTTGATACGCTCTATCATCTCTTCTAAGGTCATCTCTTCGATCACCAACCCATCTGTCGTCGTAACGTCTTCGATCATCCCTTCTTGAATCATCTAACAGTCTGTCATCATATCGTCTTCGGTCATCATACCTGTCTCTGTCATCCCTTCGATCGTCTCTTCTTGATGGTTGAGATGGTCTATCATCTCTTCTATCCATGTCTCGAGTGTTTTTACGTTCACTTCTTTCGCTTCGAACAATGCTCTTCCCTTCAAATCTGTCACTCATATCTTTCGCCATTCTGCCACCATCTCCTCTCGCATCGCGAATAGTTGACGTTTTCCTTTCGTACTTCTCGCTTCGATTCCTTCCAAAATCTCTTTCTCGGCTTCTTGATCTTCTTCTCTCTCGTTCTGCCTTCCTTCTCACTCCTCCAATCTTCGTCGGCAAAAATTTGTCGTCAACTCTTCCTCGTTCCATCTCAACGTTCACTCTTTTTTCTCCAATTCTCATTAAGTCCCCTCTCCTTGCTGCTCGTTCCGCATCTGAGTGATGGACAAACTCAACAAAACAATAATTGACTCGTTTCCCTTTTTTGTTTTTCACAAAAATCACGTTTTTGACATCTCCAAACTCCCAAAAAATGTTTTTAAGTTCCCCCTCTTCAACGTCTTTTGGAACTCCTCTCACAAAAACGGTCCGATTCGGATTGTCCGTAACACCGGTACGCTGTGTCGGGTTCCCTTCATGTCATTTTTTGAAAGATTTTAAAAATTAGAACAAACCAAATGACGTGGCGCTTAGTGTGTATTTGAGTGTCTTTGTGCCAAAGTAATGTTAATAGTAAACAAATAGTTAAATTGTAATTAATTCAAAAAGTAATTAACGTGTTATTTTAAATAACGAGCAAACTTGAATTAACGTAAAAAACAAACATTCTGCTTTCATGGCGTCTTGGAGCGCCTTAATACTGTCTCGCTTTTTGTATTCCTTAAGAGCCTTAAGACCAGATTTTGTCCAAATTGGGGTGAAGGGTTTTTTGGGGTCTTCAAGTACTGAAGTAGCCTCGTCTGGAGGCGACTCTTTAATTAAATTGAAGATATCAGAAATTCCACTGTAGTGCGGGTAAAACTTTTTTTCTTGTGGAGGAAAAGTCGCGATGGGCTCATTGGGGATAAACAACGATTGCAAATTTTTAGGTAATACACTCACCATTGTGATTATTTTGAGTTCCTTTTTTATTCGATTTTTATTATGGAAAAAAGTGTATTGGTAAATTAACCATACAATATAATTTAATAATTACAAATAGAAAAAAAGAGAAGAAATATATTAATATATCAATTTAAAAATTATATTATTATTATTATTATTTTATTATTTTATATTTTATTATTTTATTATTATATA